TACCTAAGTCTTTTGAACTAAGAATCCTTCAGACTGCCGAAACAATAAATATTCTGATAAAAAGCCAGAATTCTTCGACCAGAAGAAATATGCTCAACCGCTCTTTTTACTTTGTTCAACTTCTGACCTAATTAGTTAACCATCAGTTTGATAACGTAATTACAGTAATTGCAATTACAGTATTATCTCTCCCACCTTATGTTAACCATATTTATTCTGATCATTTATATTACGATTTTATTCAAAGTATAAAATTATTACTTATCCCAACACCATTTTTCAGAATGTGGATTTGTGGAGAATGTGGTATTTTAACACTTGAATTCATGAGTTGAGCTTAGCTTAACCACCATTGGAAACTTGAAAGCACTGAACAGCCGTTTCGACTTAGTATGGGACGCTTCAGCAGTGCATGTTAACGATCTCTGACGCAGTAATCGAACACAAGATTTTCAGTCTCACACACGAACGCTTAACCTCTAGGCCATTGGGCCGACATTCAACGGTCTTAATGTCTAACTTCAGTCGATCCATGATCTTGAGCAACCCTTCATCTATTTTATTAATTTTATTTCATTTTATATTACAAATAATTCCAAATTCATGTGCTATAGTTTTAAACGACGCATTTTAGATAATTTAATTACTATTCGTGTTTCTCAATGACTTCGCACATTTATACAGGACATTTTTCAGTCAACGAATGTGAAAAGTCAATAAAGAAATGTTTCGTTTTAGTTCCATACTTTTTAACAGGATATACCTATGGTTTCAACAAAAGAAAAAAAAACCAAGAATTTGATAGGTTGCCTTATTCCGTAGATAAATACCGGGTAAACCAGTTAATTTAACTGAATATTGAATCACTTTTTGTATAATTTAATAATACAAGACTTTTTAATCATCTTACGTTCTCCTAGTATTACTGGAAAACTTATGAAAAACGTTTACAATAGATATTCTAGCCAAAGAATAATGCTTTAGCATTAGATGGATTATATCATAGAAACCAAATAATTGAACTTAGTCATCTTCATACTTCAAATGCATTCAAGATCGAATGCTATCAAGTAACTTTTGTCAATCTATATAAGAGTGAATAATAAAGATAAGTAGCCTATATGAATGAAAACCATTTCATGTTCCTAAATGTTTGAACCGTTCACCAATTGTCTTCAATGAGTTGATATCTCACAACAGACGTGGTTTGAACTCCATTGGTCACTGCTTCTCACTAGAACTCCTGGATATACCATTATTTCGATAAAACTGTGTAAATATTTTGTAGAAAATAACTTTATAGATTGATTGATTGGCTCAGTGGTCTATCGGTTAAGTGCTCCGGCACGAAGCTGGGTTCTGATCTCACGAGTGCGGGATCATGAATATGCTTTGCTGACGAGTCCCATAATAGGACGAAACGACCGTCCAGTGCTTCCAGGTTTTCCATGGTGGTGTAGCTTCAATAGACTCACGCTTTCAACTATGAAAATCCTAAATCTCCACAAAACCCCTTCTGATAATAGTAATTAGAACACTTGTATTAATATATGATGCATTTTTGAAAATTTTCATTTTGACAAAGCTTCAGTATCTATAAGATACGAATTTCTTTGTTTGATGTAGGTTCTCTACTAATATTATCAAGAATAAACATCAAAAAATGCTCTAATTAACGTAATGTATGACTTCATAAAAAACAAATAAGCATCTTGACAACTAATCGAAATTTACTACTTCACTAAATTTATGAATTGAAGTCACTGATGACTTTATAACTAATTTTTCATTCTTAACAACTTGTATTCAGCAATACCCAGTCATTAGTTTTACAAGTGTATGGGAAAGATAATGAATAAAAAAAGTATGTGACCGATGAGATGTTACGTCATAACTTTAATAATTTATAATTTGTAGAATGAAGGTATAAGTTTTTGCATCTATCTGTTTTATTACTGACATTGTGTTACTGGTTATAACCGAATCTAAATAAATCACTAATTGTTCTTAGCTTAATTGTACCATATAATTACAGAGTTACTTGGTAAAATAGGAACCCTAATACTTCATTTGTAAACTCAGACTTCATTGTTCCTGCACTTCCATATCAATTGCTTTCTGTTCCTATCCTTCTCTTCTCGATCTCAATCTTCTGCTGCCATACATTCTATCCCTGACTCGCCTTACATACTACTTATATCGATATAAGTAGCACACACATCAAATATTTACTTTTGTTCATCCCTTTTTCAGCTAAATTTTTTTTTTCACTACTACTGATAGTGTTGTTTCGATGTTTTAACTTTTTTAACTCATAGCTATCCTTTTACTATGGTAGTGTATATAGTTGAATTTAGAACAGTTAACCATCAATTACATAATGGATTACCTGATAAATATTGACTTAAAATTGTTTTAAAGCCCTGAATTTTCAATTTTTCGAAGGTGCTTTTTTCTATGAGCAGGATGGCTTAACTGTAAAGCTTTCATTGTCTTTCTTGACAAAGTTATCAATTTTGTAATCCATCTAGTCAAAATACAATATTATTAAACCAAGTCAAAAGTTTATAAATTTTCCTATTAGGGTTTGAATACTTGATAGATCTAAAGCAATTGAACAAATAGCTTATAGTCAAAAGAAAGTATTTAACATAGTCCATATATAGTAGGCAAATAAACAACAGAAAACAGTCAAATCGTATCAAGTCATTAATAAATGTAAATCAATCTAAGCTTATTTTCTTTTTATCGTAACGAGTTGTTTGATTTGATCTATAGATTATAATAAATAGATTATTTATATCAATATAAATAGTTTGATCATATTTTCATTATAGGGTTGTGGAGATCGGTAACTTTCATTGAAATCATGAATCGATATAAGTTAGATTTCTATTAAAATTGTGAAAGCACTGGAAAGCTGTTTGGTTTTAGCATAGGACTCTTTAGCATTGCATATAAACGATCCCTCCCACGGGATTCGAACCCAAGGCATATGATTTCGTACAATTACTTGACCTCCAGACCACTAAGCCGCTACTCCGTGGTGTTAATGTTCATACGATACTTAGGATTATAGTGTCGTTGTAAATGCCAATTATAATGAAAGAGTAATTGTCATTTGGTAAGATTGATGATATGACACTTATCATCCGGATTCGAAGTCTGATAGGTCATCATCAAGTCAATCGAGCAACAATTGATTTCTAGTAAGACTAAGATATTTACACTGATATTTCAATGAGTAACGACTTATGTCATGTTCATTTAAACTTTAGTAGTTATTGGATCTTATAGGCTAACTTATAAAGGGATCAAGAGTTCAATTGATGTGACATTACATTCATTCAACATTTTGTAATTGACTCCTTCAAAGGAGGTGATGTAACACCGTAGAGATTACTACATCAGGCTCTTTTCAAGCAATCATTGATTCAATCCGTTTTCTATGTACCTTAATTTAGGCAGCTAAGCAATATCACGAGAACTCATACATAATACTTGACTTAGAGTTAAGCAATCTGCCTCTCTAGAAAATACTGGATTAAAACAAAACAACAAGAACTTATTAATCTATATTTCGGTGCTGGCTAATAGATTCTAGCATCACATGCAATAATTACAAACTTTTTTCTCAATTATAAAAGAAGTCTATTTCAATAGTAGTCACAACAAAAGAATGTTTCATTTGTTAACCTCACATTATGTAGGTCCTAACATTGAAAATGGCATATCTTTATTGTCAAATTAAACAGGTGTTCGGCTTAGACAAATAAATCATCTTTTGGAGTCTAACTACAATATAGCTTAGATGTTTGAGGTAATACATTTTATTGATGTTAAGGCACATTTCAGGGTTTCATATATATATAGTTGAAGTTAGACATTAACACCGTTGGATGCCGGCTCAGTGGTCTATCGGTTAAGGGCTTTGGCTCGTAACTGGTAGGTCCTGGGTTCGAATTTCGCGAGTGCGGGATCGTGGGTGCGCACTGCTGAGGAGTCCCATAATAGGACGGAACGGCTGTCCAGTGCTTCCAGGTTTTCGATGGTGGTCTAGCTTTAATTGACTCATGATTTCAACTTTGAAATATATATATATATATATATATATATATATATATATGCCTTATAATCTGTAGATTCAGATTCGATCAAGCAGTCGTTATATAATAGAATATTTCCAATCATTTGATATAAGTTGTAGGATTATACTAGGCTGACAAGCTACAGTCATGTTAAAATTGTCCGAATACAATTTCCATCATACTTTCTCAATTATTTCACAACTGGTCATCGAAATGACACAGAAATATAAGAAACATAAAAAGAAAATAAAGGAAATTCCGAAAGAATTCGTTTTATGGAGTGAATCTGTAGCTAAAGTAGCAGCTTCATCGAATTTCGCCTTCACAACATGATAGTTTGAATGTACAATATAACATTGGATGGTGTAAAAAATTATGGACGACCTTTGAACGATCGAGTGAAAAAGATTCCTATTCTAGGAAATGTCTCCCTTCAACATATATTACATCAAAAGACAACATCACGGTAGTCCCCACAATTCATTTGATTACCTCAATTACAAATAAAAGAACTTTATAGACCCATTTATTGTAGCTGCTTAATTATCAGATCTTCTCTAAACTGATCCGTAAACCGATCGTACTTGAGCATCAGGCGCTGACATTAGAACCCTGACCTTGAAATCCCTCAATGCCCCTGATTGGCTCGACTATAAATTATAGTTTCGCCAAATTTGTTTTATTAATACTAATCTATTTAACAACTATCAACTGAAAAAAAAATTATTCATAAGCTTCTTATAAACCGGAAGGTTTTTTGAATTAAGGGTAAAAAGTTTAAATCTCTTCTTTTCTTTTTTTTCTTTTGTCTTCATTATCCGAATTATATAATTTTGTTACATTATTAATAATACATCTATATATATATGTATATTACAACAATGATACTTTACTCATTTTCTTTTTTTTCAGTTACTATCCAAATTAATTTTTTTTATAAAAAATTTCAAATGATATCTAATCAGTTACTATCTGAAAAATCAATATTCATATTTACCTTATTGATTATTATTCAATTTACTAATTTAATTGCCATGGCTACAAATGAAACAAATAAAAATGATTCAATTGATTACATAATCATTAATAATCATAATAATTCATCATCAGATAAAATGTTATTAGAAATTTATACAACATGGATTGATTTTGCTAAACATTTTGTACCTACAGCATTATTTGTTGATCGTTATGTAACAATAATTTATTATATATTAGGTTTCCCTGGTAACTTTATTTCATTAATTATATGGTCTAATAAAAAAATGATTAAAGAAAATTCTGCTGCTGTTTATTTAGCTGCATTATCATTAAATGATATTATTGTATTAATATTTGCATTAAATAGAGATTTATCACGTGTATGGCAAATACGTGAATATTTATTACCTGGTTCATGTGAAATACAAAATATTTTATCACCAGCTGTACAATATGCATCACCATTATTTGTATTATCATTTACTATTGAAAGATGGTTAGCTATATGTAAACCATTTTATATTGATCGTATATGTAGTTCAAAAAGAGCTATATATATATGTATATTAATTATTTGTAGTACTATATTAGTATGTTCTGGTTATGCATATATCTTTATAACTGATATTAATACATGTAGTAAACGACATATTAATCCATTAATAATAAGTGTATATTTATCATGTTTAGAAGCTGTATTCTCTGGTATTGTACCATTATTAGTATTATTATTTAATTGTTTAGTTATTAAAGAATTAGCTAAAGTTCATCATGCTAATAAACAATTAACTATGATATCAAATCATTTATCATTATCATTAACATCATCGTCGACATACTGTTCAACATCTCAATCAAATACAATCCCCAAGGGAAACTTATCAAGATCTTCATATATTAATCATAATAATAATAATAATAATAATAATCAATGTAAAAATAAAATAAAAAAATATTTTAAAAATATTTTTCCTAAAAAAATTTCTACAAATACAATAAAAAAATCTTCAAAAAAAATCAATAAAACAATAATCAATAAAAATTCATTAAATCATTCAATAATAAATGATACATCTTCATTGAATTTAATTGAACAATATAATTTATTAAATGAAAATAATAAATTATTAATGAATGGACAATCAAATATTACTAATACTACTAATAATACTACTTATAATAATAATGATAATAATGAATTAATGAATATAAATTATAATGATTCATATAAAATAATAAATAATAAACGTAATAATCCAAGTTTTAAATCAACAACATTAATGTTATTAACTGTTAGCTTTTATACTATTTTAACAACATTACTTGGTGGTCTTGTTTATTTAATACATCAAACACAAGAAGAACCAAATATGAATGCAACTGAAAAAGAAGTAAGTTATTTTTGGTTATTATTATTATTATTATTGATATTTTAATGAATTTTATATAGTTGAGATCATGAGTCAATTGAAGCTAGATCCAACCATGGAAAACCTGTAAGAAATGGATGACCGTTTCGTCCAGTTATGGGACTCCTCAGAAGTGCGCATCCACGATCCTGTCTCGCGAGGTTCGAACCCAGGACCTACCAGTCTTGCGTCAGAGCACTTAATCGATAGATCACTGAGTTGATTGGCATCCAACGGCGTTAACGTCTAACCTTAACCAATCCACGAAATCGAGCTACCATCTCCCATTGTACTGAGGTAGATACATGTATCTACCTGACACGGATTAGCTCCACTGGCCACGACTTCTCACTAGACCTCAAGGAATGAATTCATAGAGCCAGTCACTAGTGAGCATATGATCATTATCAAAAGGGGATTTCGTGGAGATTTTGGTAATTTTATATAGTTGAGATCATGAATCAATTGAAGCTAGACCACCATCGAAAACTCGGAAGCACTGGACAGCCGTTTCTTCCTATTGTGGGACTCCTCAGTCAGTTACAAGAAATGATCGATCAAAACATTGACAGATAAGAAGACTTAATAAGTGTTGAGATATGTCTTAAAGACAATTCTTACGTATAAAAATTTATTTATAAATGTGAAAATCACTGAAGCAAACTAATCAGTTATAGTATTGTTGATTCTCTGTTGTGTGGTCCGGTGAGACACATTTAGCTTTGTGTGTGCGTCTGTGTGAGAATATTGTGTCGTCTATAACTAATTTGTTAAATGTACATAGATTTGCAAATCTCTCCCCCATTCTCTTTCCTTGCCGTCCCATAATACTTTCATAACCGTCGTTGTCCATTCCGACTTTGACGTTAAGATTTCCCATCAAGATTTTGAGATCCTTTCTTGGGCACTTCTCTATGATTGATTGCAGCGTCTCTTAGAACTGATCCTTATTGTCATCGTTGCTATCATTGTTGAGTGCATAACATTGGATAATATTCATTGTAATTCCCTGCTTATCGTAATCAATTGTTGGGGACTCTAGGTTACATGGCTCAAAATCAATTACATTGGCACAGGTGTATATACATTTTATCTTCCCTTAAACCTTGAGATTAAGATTGCGTCATATTTGTCTTCGATCTTGTACTATATCCTTATATACAACCTTCTATGAATTCGGTGCTCATCTTGTTGTCCTAATGAGGTATGACATTTTGGACCGATGCATATGTGTGCTTGGTCCTACGTTGTAGCTGATTGACTGACTGAATTCCCTGCTTCCTTGTTTTGAAAGATGCTTTCATGGTTCTGAGTCCATGAGATTCCCGACCTACAAGTACATTTCGAGCTTTTTTGGACAACATCAGCTCAAGTCCTTGTGCGTGGTCGAAGCACCTTTTTTTTCGTGGCCGGAGTATAGCGGCATCTCTCCCGATTCTAATATTTTCTTTCGAAATTGATTCAAATGGATTTCACTTATTTTGAAAACTGTCAAGTTGTATCTTCTCATTTATATAGCTATTTGCGTGGTCCTTCGGGTCTTCAACGTTATCCAGACATTCCATATACCCATATTGATTGCTGCTCTGCTTGTTAGAAGTGACATAGACCTCGTGATCTCTTAAAAGTCTCACTTACCGTTAGTTTATTAGACAAAATACCTCAATCATCACAACTTATTCGATGCTTTAAAGTATTTCAACCCTAACGTGTTAAATGACGATGTTGTAAACAATAATCATAGTTTTTAGAAAAAAACATTTAGCTTAGAGTGTGCAGTAATCTTAACAGTATTTGAAGTAATAATATCATTGATCACATTTTATTGAAGCTAATTGTTGCATTCCTCACTGAATATACTTGAGGTCGAATTTCATGGTAGTTTGTCAGAAAGTATCCTCATTTCAGTTAAAATTAGTTACATCTTTTGTGTGCCAGAGAGAAATTAGAAGTAATTTTGATTGCAAAGTGTATAATTATGATATCATTTTAAGAATGTTCTCAGTGACAATGCATTTGTTAACGTTTGTAACTTCCCGTTTACTGATATTAAGGACCGAAATCGATGAAGTACGTTAATCAAAAATGTACCCTGGGCGAATAACTTCAATGTTGCCACTTGTTAACAGACCCTCTTAAGCAGAGTTTGATAAACGCTAGCAGTGAATTTCAGGATACGAGTTTCATTCAGTTTGAGACCAATCAGCTAGATTTACCTGGATTTATGTTAATATCCACACTGGAACTAGACATCACCCAACTCTTCTTAAGAATGCTTGTACCTTAATGGGAATCGATTAGATGTGCTAGCTTGAAATTGCAACAATTGTCAGTTATTTTAAACACATAAATCTTAAGGTATGCCGTTTTTTTCTATTTTTCTCCTTGAAAATACTAAATAACCGACAAACGTATTACTATTTAATATTATTCAGTTGATGTGTTATATTGACTTAGATGTATATAGACTGTAATCATATAACTACAAAATGGATTACAGTGAATTAATTCATAACTGGTATCCATTACTTACCGATCGTTGCTGCTACCTTGACGTGGTGGTCGGGCTTGCCTATCGTGATGAAGCAATCGAGCTATGCTGGCTGGAACAATCGTTCCTCAAGGTCCTACCATGTCAGACAGGTTAGTTGAAGAGCGGTGGGACTAAAAGCAGCAAACCCAAGGTCCGAAGGCGAAGTCGTACTGCTGACTGTACAGAGGTGTGACAGCAGTAAGGTGTTTCCTTCAGACAACCAGCATGACAGCGATGCTGCCTTCCCACAAGGAGGGGTGGGGTTAGAAAAGGTTGACCCTAAAAATGCACACCTCGCCTTATCCCATGGATACCGTCTCCGGCGGTAAGGTTTTCTTTTGAAGAACGGAGCTAACACAAAAACTACCCACAAAAAGGTCGTGTGTGACCGACCTCAAGCAGTTGTCCCTTGGGCACTGCGGTCACGCTCTCAGGTCATTAAGACCACTTCTAACCCAATTTCCTTTTCAGGTACCCCCAGGAGAACCCTTCCACGGTGTGGGCAACCGGGAAGTGATAACTGCCCTCATACCTCTAACAGCACTCAAGACCACTGTATTCATAATCAATCTCCTTCTTCAATTCCTACTATTCCTTCTACCTTGACTTTCAACACTAAACTTCCTCTCTCGGTTTCCTCCTCAAGTGTCACCATGACCAACGATTCTAGTGCGCGGAACACTGTCCCAGGCCTACTAAATCTCGCTCCAAACTACACATTGGAGCCTTCAACGTACGTACCCTAAGTCAAATCGGTCAACAGGCCTCCTTAGCTAAAACCCTAGAATCTCGTACCATTGATGTATGCTGTGTCTCCGAAACACGCATACAGGATCCCAGTGTGGTCATTCACTTGACCTCACCTCGCCAAAATGGACAGCCGACGAAATACACCCTCCGTGTATCTGGCGACCAGTTGGCTAGTTCTTGCGGACTTGCAGGTGTAAGCATAGCACTAAGTACAAGGGCAGAACAGGCACTACTAGAATGGATCCCCGTTAACAGTCGCCTGTGTGCTGTCCGGCTAAATGGCTCCGTTAGAACTCGGAAGGATAGGGACACACGTCGTTGCCTTTTCATCGTTTCTGCCTACGCTCCCACCGACTGCAGCCCTGATGAAGTGAAAGATGACTTTTACAGAAAGCTCTCTGAGCTTCTTCAGAAAGCTAAGCGCCCAGACATAGTAGTCGTAGCGGGTGACTGTAATGCCCAGGTAGGCAGCTTGAATCAAACAGAAAGACATTTAGGTGGGTGTTTTAGTATTCCGGCTCAACGAACCGATAATGGTGATCGTCTGTTGCAACTATGCTCAGACAATCGTTTATTTTTTAGCAAGCACTAATTTTAAACATAAGGAGAGACATCGTCTAACATGGCGACCACCTATACCAAACCAACGATGGACTCAAATAGACCATATTGTCATCAGTCATCGTTGGAGAGGCTCAATAGAAGGTTGTCGCTCGTATTGGAATACTTGTTTAGACTCTGATCACGCTTTAATACGAGCGCGTATTTGTCTGCGCCTCAATGGACGCAGGAAAAGTACACTAAGAAGACCCATTAGGATTGAACTGGAGGACGAGAAAGCCAAATGCGAATTCCAGAAACAACTGAGTTCACATCTAGGCAGTTCTGTAAACGAGACTGACCCAGATGCTGCTTGGAAAGACATACGAACAGCTGTGGAAACAGCAGTAACATCTATTGGTCATTTAAACCATAGGACTCCAAAAAACCAGTGGATTTCCTCTAAGTCTATTTCACTGATGGATTCGCGTAAACTCATCCCATCAGGCTCTGAACATGACGAAGAGCGTAAAGAAATTAGATCTAGGTCAACTAAAAGTCTAAGGAACGATCGTGAGCAGTGGTAGGCAACGAAAGCAAAAGAGATGGAAAAGGCAGCGGCAGTAGGCAATACCAGGCAACTATTCAGACTAATAAAAGAAACCGGAATTAAGAAGTCAAGTGTAAGTGAGACAATCTCGGAAAAAGACGGAACCCTTATCTGCTCTCAACCCAAACGTTTAGAACGATGGGCGGAACACTTTAAGGAGCAGTTTAGCTGGCCTTCAGCTACTGCACAACTACCCACTATTCCTAGAAAACCTGAATGGAACATTGAAGTAGGCCCCCCGATCCTACTTGAAGTTCAAAAGGCTATAGGTAATCTGAAACGAGGAAGAGCAGCTGGTCCTGATGGATTGGCCCCAGAGGTCTTTAAATATGGTGGTCCAATTTTAGCGATTAGGTTGACTAATATTCTGGCTAAAATCTGGGAGACGGATGTAATCCCATCTGTCTGGTCACAATCACTTATTGTCCCAATATATAGAAAGGGGTAAAAATCATCCTGCGATAACCATAGAGGGATTAGTCTGACTAACATAGCATCTAAAATACTAGCCTTGTAAAGGCTCTTTACTCGAACACTATTAGTCGAGTGAGAGCTTATGGCGAACTGTCATATGATTTTACAACCTCAAGTGGTGTCCGTCAAGGCTGTCCACTATCCCCGTTTTTGTTTAACTTCATTATAGACCTGTTGCTGGAAATAACACTCTCGTCGACTGAATTTACAGGAATTGATCTCCTACCAGGGGGACCACTAAGCTACTTAGAATACGCAGATGACATAGTCCTGTTTGGTGAAGACGCTGACAAAATGCAGAGTCTTCTGTTGGAACTCAGTAATAATGCCAGGATGTTTGGGACGCGTTTCTCCTCATCCAAATGTAAATTGTTAGTCTAGGACTGGCCTGCGTCAACACCCGAACTAAGGATAGGGAGTGAAGTAGTCGAACGCGTCGACAACTTCACTTATCTTGGAAGTCTGATCAGCTCTAATGGGTTGGTGTCTGACGAAATCTCAGCACGGATTCAAAAATCTCGTTTGGCTTTTGCCAACTTACGTCACCTATGGCGTAGACGAGATATCCGTCTATCAATTAAAGGACGAGTATACTGCGCATCCGTTCGCTCTGTTCTACTTTACGGCTGTGAAACATGGCCATTAAGAGTAGAAGATACTCATAGGTTACTAGTATTTGACCACAGATGCCTTAGAAATATTGCTCACATCTGCTGGGATAACCGGGTAAGTAATAGTGAGGTTAGACGCAGGGTATTAGGGAACGATGGTAAATCAGTTGATGAGGTGATGAATCTTCATCGACTGAGATGGTTGGGCCACGTGTTACGTATGCCTGAACACCGATTACCACGACGCGCTATGATGACTAGTGTAGGGGATTGTTGGAAGAGAGTTAGGGGCGGCCAAACCAAAACATGGCATCAGTGTTTGAAGTCACTAACTTCTAGTCTGAGCCATGTTGGCAGATGCAGACTACCTGGTTGGGGTCCACGTGACTATCGTAACCAATGGTTGGAGACTCTGTGTGACATGGCTCAGAATCGATCACAATGGCGTAGGTGTATATACTCTTTATCTTCCCTTAAATCTTGAGACTAAAATTGCTTCATATCTCTCTTCCTTCCTGTACTATATCCTTATATACAATCTATAATTTATATACTACTACCAACACTAAATTAACTACTATGAATCCTGTGTTCATCTTGTTGTGCTAACGAGGTAGGGCAACTTGGACCGATGCATAAATGTGCCTGGTCCTAAGTTGTAGCTGACTGACTGACTGACTGAGAACTTACCATACTTTTCATTGAATAACTAAAAAAATACAACTTAAATGTTTCTATTTTATTTTATTGTTAGGCTTTAAAAGATCCTGTATGGAATCAATATTTTAAAATGATTACTATTAAAGCATTCGGTGATGAAATTGCTTTATCACATTATGCATTTAGTTTTATAATATATTATGCAACTGGATGTAATTTTCGTCAACGTGTACATCAATTATGTAAAAATTTGTTATATAAATTAGGTTGTCGATGTAATACATTAATGAAACTTGGTATTAATGAACATAGTGATAATATACCATCCATTACACGTCGTTCACATAATCGTTTATTAACTACTACTACTACTACTACTACTACTACTACTGCTAATAATAATAATAATAATAATAATAATAATAATAATAGACAAAATGATACAGATTCTACACCTCATATATCACATCATCGTCAATCACGAAAATTATTAGTCCACAAAAGTCCAATGGAAGTTGATCAATCTTTAAAATCAGCCAGGAATAAATAAGACATCTTCAGGAGATAATGCAACAACAACAACAAATAAAAGTATTCAACGTCTTGGCATAATTCCTTAATGTAATACATCAAATGGATGTTATTAATTTTTTAATATACACGAATTAAAAATTGGACTTCAAAGATTAAAAAATAACCGTTCACAGATTTCGACGCCATCAAACACGGAACAATAATGAAAACCTTATCTTATTCTAACAATATATTATATTAAATCTAATCTAATTGTCTATTATAACAGAAAAAATAACCAATAATGAAAGTACCATGGAAATGATATTATTTTTTGTTTTAAAGAAAAGAAAAAAATTGTTCCCCCCTTATCTCTTTCGATACTCTCTTCGATTTTTTTTCTTTTTTTTTTTTAAAAATTTCTTTTTGTTTTGATATAAGATTAAATTATTTTGAGTTGTGGTATTATATTGTTTGTTTTCTCTTTGATTTCATTGACCTACAATCCATTACAAATATATATATATATATATAATCGGTTAATATGGAAGTGATCCACTAACAATCATAACATCCTGTTCATTTCGGTACATTTATTCAGTGCATTATATGTTCATTGTTTCAGTTTTTTTTAATGATCTCTAAAGTTTTTTGTATATATGAACGTGTGTATAGCAACACAATAATAATAATAATAATGATTATTATTAAAACTGTCTGCATATACTACTTATATTGTCATTGATCAATGTATTTCTTATTCATTTCCTTTGATTAAATGATTAAAGGTTTGTTTTAATTTATTAAATTCATTGTGAACAGTTTCCATTTATTTATTATTTACTATATTAAAAGATAAGGATTAATAGAATCAAAATATGTACAAGAAGAGTATATCATAGATGGTAATAAATTACATAATGATGAAGCATTCTTACTTACTTACTTACGCCTGTTACTCCTCGTTGAGGAGTATAGGCCGCTCACCAACATTCTCCATCCATGAAGCATTCGTTTACTGTTTATTACTGAAATCTCTATGGTCGATAATGAGTTATTAAGAAAATAAAGTTTTATTATCAGAAGAGGGTTTTTGTTGGAGATTTAGTATTTTCATAGTTAAAAGCGTCAGTCAATTAAAGTTAGACCATCAGGGAAAACCTGGAAGCACTAGACGGCCATTTCGTCCTATTGTAGGACGCCATCAGCAGTGCGCATCCACAACATTGCCTCGCGAGATTCAATTGACTCACGCTTTCAACTATGAAAATGAAGTATGTTTTTTTCTTCTTATGGTCAGTATTGAAGTATTTTATAAAGTTATTATTAGCGCAATACATTTTGAACAATCTGGTCATACATATACTTGTTAAAAACAAACAAATAGAATCAAATGACCAGATAAGAGTAGAGGATAAACATTTATCATCCTCTATTGCCAAACATATAATCGAAATAGGCCATAAGATCCATCTAAACTTGGCTTTTGTTGTTGTATAAAAATGTGAAAAGGAGTATAATCAGGTTTATTGAAGGTTTAGCTATACGAAAACTCAAACCCCCTTTGTGCATTCAAAAACAGTTAGTTTTCACCTTAATCCTACCCTGGTAATATTAGCTTATTATTCAGAGTGATAAGGTTTCAAATTGTTTTCACATTATTATTATTATTATTATTATTATTCATTTTTGTTATTTTACTTGTATCTTCCTATTGTTATATTGAACTGCAATCGATCAGTCTCCGTTTGGTATATGTTCATCCTGTGCGGACTGCTTCTATATTGCCCGAAGTCACAAGCTTTATAAGCAATGATAAATAGTGGCTAGCAGTGGAATTCAGGATGCGCGTTTCGTCCTATTTCAGACTCGTCAGTTGGATGTACCTGCATCTCAGATTTGATGTTCACTCCGGGACTCTTACCCAGTATCGTTCGCTTTAAACGCCATTGCGTTATCCACTTAACTACTGAGTCCTGATAGCAACCTGCTTATGCTCATGGGATGAAGTTATATTCACTTGATGTTGTTTACTTGTATCTTCCCATTGTTATTTAGGACTGCAATTGGCATATGTGCATTCTATGGATGCTGGGCCTAAAAGTATGGAATAGTTTACATTGAATGTAGTCAAATCAAATTGATAATGCGGAGAATATAACGATAAACAACTTAAGAATATTACTTGTTTAATCCAGGCGTATAAATATAGTCCATTTAAAAGGTCAAATATTTAGATGATTATCTTCTGAGTTATATGGTTTGATTTCAAATAATTTCCAGCTCGTTCGATAAGAAAATCATTGAAATATGTTAGAAATTAATAGTTAATCCCTAAAAAGGTACGAGGTTGTATGTAAATTGAAGTAATGTAATTTGACTCTTATCTGCATGATCCATTTGTCTACCTATCAAATGAATTTTTAATGTGATATTCAAAAAATGCTGATAACCTATACTTTGTTGTTATCTTCTAAAAGAAATCAATCTAAATTCTAGGGTTTCTTTCTTTGCTTAATAATGCTAGTGATCTCTGTATGAAAATAACATTATGCTACGAGGAAGGATTTCGAGGAAGAGTTTTCTTTCTGTTCGCACACTTCAAGCGTTTTATACTGTTCACTATACCGCTGATATCATGTTATGTGTTATAAAATGTTCTCAAATGATACATATAACTTCGTTAGATGAAATTGTAGGTAAATTACCAGCCATAACATTCTTAGAAAATTCACTTAGTATTGTTTGTTTGAATCTTCCCATCGATGTGTTTAGGACTGCAACTGGTCAGTCTCTAATTGGCATATGTGCATACTGTGCGTATTGCCTCGATATACCTTAATTCACAAGCATGGTAAGCAGAGATGTATAGTGGCTAGCAGTGGAATCCAGGACGCGCGTTTCGTCCTATTTCAGACTAGTCAGCTGGATGCACCTGCATCTCAGAGTTGATGTTAACTCTGGGACTCGAACCCAGTACCCTCGCTTCAAACGCCATCGCGTTATCCACTCGGCCACTGAGTCCTGATAGCCACTTGCTTGTGCGATGAGGTGAAGTTTGAATTCACTTAGTATTGTTTGTTTGGATCTTCCCATCGAGTCCCAGAGTGAACATCAACTCTGAGATGCAGGTACATCCAGCTGACCAGTCCCAAATAGGACGAAACGCGCGTCCTAGATTCCACTGCTAGCCACTATCCATCTCTGCTTACCATTCTTGAAAAATGTTGTACACGCACTTTTTCGGTAGATTTTTAAAAATTAAATCCTGTCCTGTTGTCAACTTATAAAGATAGCTAATAAAAACCAAGTTGGTCTATTAGACTTTCCACATATATATGTTTAGTATAAATGAAAATGGATATACAATCTGTGTGACCGACTCAGTCGATGGTTATTCGATATTTAGGACGGAAAAAGCCAATTCAGCGAAGAAAATTATCTTTTCAACGATACAATCATATTTATAGTTGCTGTCATAGTAAGGTAGAAAGATACTAATTTTTTTAAAACCCTTGAAGTTCTATGTTGTTAATATCTGGATATCAGATGCTGAAAAGAAGCCATGTAGCAAATGGCTAGCTAAAAATTGCTATGGTGAAAATAATTGTCTACTTGATAGCTTTCAAGAACAGAATAATCCGAGATTTCATCATTTAAAATCTAAACTATAACTATGAAAGTACTTTTAAGAAAAAGAAAATATTCAATCCTGAATTGTACAATGGATCGAAAATAAATAAAAGCTGTCTAGGAACTGTGAGTAATATCGATTACAAGGTGATTATAATGTCGTTTATTCCTGTCATCGAGATTTATTGATTCCAGTTTCCATCATCAATCACTTTTTTAAAACACCAGTATTATTGATTAATGTAATTAAGGATTTTTCATTTCCAACTTGAGAGACTATGATTTTATGTGTATAATCTCTGGGAATAAATAAACTGTTTTCTGAAAGTATTACAAACTGTATGCGATTTTACGGGGATGATCCAGCTGATATAGATAGCAATGTTCTGTGTAAAGGAAAGATTTATAATTTTAAATTGTCTAAAATAATCTAGCACTTTTTTAATTTTGGAAGTAGGTTTACCAAATGGATTACAACAATGTTAGGCATCAGTTGGTAGCGGGTAATCATCTGTGTAGGGATTGAGGCATGCTGTTGTTGTATGGATAGTGCAACCAAAGTTATTTCCAGTTACATAAAAGAATAATGTCACTCATCTTCAACTAGGAAAATAGGCGAAACAGAGAAGACAGAATATAATCAGTAAGAATTACTATGATAGGTTAACCAATATATAAGTGCTAAGTTACTTTACGATTTATTTATTCGGATAGATATTACTCGAATTAGTTAAACTGACCAGGAATGGTATAAGTGTAAGATATCTTCAGAAAGAGAAGTTTAATAAGTGAGCTCTGTAATAAAAATGATTGAACATTTAAAATCTCTATAATTTCATCAGTGAAGTGGGATGTACTGAAAGGTGCAAAGCAGTTTCATAGATAAGGTATACATCAATACGAAGAACGAATGATTGCAGCAATTTTATTTCAAAAACAGATTATAGGAAATTATTCCAGAGTTTCGAAAATTTATGATCAAAGTAATTCACTTAGTGCAAAGATCTAGATTGAGACCATCTTACTGATTATAAAGATTTACGGATGCTATAACTAGGGTGTTTTTGTAATTTACATTGCAGAAAGGAATGTAGAAGGTAGCCTGGTAGTTATTTTGAAGAGTATGATTAAGTTTATTCTAAGCCTTTTCTTTCATAAATAGTTCATTAATAGACAATTAACTGTGCGACACAAATTGTCTTTGAATTAGGTAGTATACTGAAAATGTTCAAGACGCTAATCAACTTTATTAGGACTATAGATGCCCTTTTGCTAGCACTTTGTACTCAGCTTTGTATTTTATCACTGGATTAAATGGTAAAACTTAATCTTGATCAAGAATCCACATTTGATAATGTTTGCAATAGTTATTTTCATAAAGCTAAACAGAGGAAATACACTACTTATAAATAACATTCAGTAATCATAAATCGTAAGGTATATATTTGAATTTTCAAATTTTAACAATCAATCAATGTTGTAGTGTTGGTTACTATGTTAAGCTCATACAGCTTATTTTACCTTTCGGACACACCAGTTTATTCATTCTACTTGGGTCACATTTTAACCTTGTTAATTATTCATTTGACAAACTTGAATGTTTTTATATAAGCGTATCTATGTGCACTTCTTAGCTTATGTCTGTAACTTACTTTCATGTGACTATAAATATCGATTAAAGCTTGATTAAATTGAGTTGGCTAACTCTCCTTCTCCATTGCGTATCACTCCTATTCACTCTCTTCATTTTATCGTTTGCTTTGATCAACGATTGTACGAAATATACGTATTCCAAATTCTATTCTCGTATTTGACTTGTTTGATTCCGTT